AAAAAAAAAAAAAAAACCCTTGTTAAAGGCAATATATTTTTGTCTCTCATCAAGATACTTTTAGTGATTTAATTTCACTAGTACAAGGTGATTTAAATATTAACATAGATTTTATTCTATTTTTGAGGCTTTTCAATTAAACCTATTTTGCATACCACCATTAGTAAAGGGAAAATAAACACTAAGGACAATAATATTAGTAGTATGCATTAAAATCATTTTTATTTTATATTAAAATTTTCATTTTATTTTACTCAAATTTAAAAAAATTATTAAAAAATCGCATGTTCAACATCAAAATCTATGATGTTTTGTAAATCTTTATGCCTTGTATTCATTAACATTTTTTTTAAGTTATGAGACGTAAAACCGGTTCATGGTACATGGTACATGGTACGTGACTCCATGGTCTCACCCTTAGTTCCTAAACCGGTGGCTCCCTTAAAAATTTGAGGGTCCAATATTTTGACACATGAAATTGGAAGTGCCTTTGCAATTACCAACAATCTATACTAATATATTAAAGAAGTCCCCTGACTGTGTCAGAGATTTTGCTCTTTCAATTTCAGGTACACATCTTTAAAGTCATTAAAAACAAATTGAAGAATAAATTGGGAAACCAAGAAAAGGTAGGAAGCTTCTGGAGAATGGCAGAAACTTTTTAAGCAAATAAAATTGCAGTCTTTTTTCTATGGGGATTTTTCTAATTCTCTCATTTTGCTTTCTCTTCCTAATTCTTTCACTTATTATGATTTTTTTTTAACAAATTTAAAACATGCATTTTTTTTTTTTTACTTTTCTATTTAATCTTCATCTAATTCTTTGGCTTTTTTGTTCTTTTGATTTCACTCTAGAAGATTTTGGGTAAAAAAGAGAGGAAAGACATTCATCAAGGTTATTGTATTTTTGAGGTGATGAATTTTTCTAAATGTTAATTTTATGTTTCGATCATTTTTTTTTTTCATGCATATTATTTTTTTGGTAAGCTATGTTTTTTTCATTTAGGTTACGAATTGTAAGTTATGAATTTATTAAAGATATCAATTTCATGCATGTTATTTTATGGGTTTTGATTTTTTTTTTATATTTGACTTTGGATTTGTTGGTGGTAACAACAGCTTTGTCACTAATATTTTCAATCTTGGTTTTACTATTGAAATTTAAGTTCTTGATATTTAAAGTCAATGGATTTTCTTTTTTTTTTTTCTATTGGTATTTGTTTGGGTTTTTTAAATTGATATTCGATTACATGTGAGTCATTTTTTGCTATAAAAAGTTTTGTGTTCGTCTTGAATTCCATCCTATTTCAATTTTCAATTGTAAATTAGTTAGTGTTTTTGGTTGTTTGTATGATTGAATCAATTTGTAACAGACAAATAACCCTGAAACTGAAGTTTAAGAGATTGAAAGCAAAAGAAAAAGGTGAAAGAAGAAACCTTATTCCAATTTTGCAAAACAAAAACTTAAAAAAAGTGCATTGGTCAAGGATTCTCACCTTTTTTTTCTTTGAAAAAGAAATTTCCAAAAACAAGCCCTGAAGCCAACTAGGTGGAGGAACTAGGCCAGTGTCACATTCAGAAAAAGCATAAAGCCACCCACAAGTTATCCAATCCAATTCAAGTCTCATGTATATGCTAATTTGATTCTTGCCATGGCTGATAATGATCCTGAAATAGCAACAGAAAATCTATAGGTAAACTTGTGAGTTTCAATTTGTCCTTTCAGTAACCTTTAAATACAAATTCAGTCGGTTGACAAGACAAGAAAGAAACTTAAGTCCTAATTGGTTGCATTTGCATTCAAGTGCATATAGTAGTCATTTGTGTTTGAATAGAATAAGAATAATAGGCAACTAGAGGGGCAATCCACATGAATCTAGTGAGAAGTTTAATAATACCGATTTGTTTGACATTGCTATCCTAACATTTTTCAATTTCTAATTAGGGTGGATTATGTTGTTTTGTCCTTACTTTTAGGGAACGTGGCATAAGTACTGTAAACAATTGTGAGAATGAATAGGAACTTCTTCGAGTGGCACAGACAATGTTTGATGTGATATTACCTCCTAGAGTGGTAATGCTACAATCGTTCTCTGAAGATTCTTCAATTAAAAAAAAAATTGTTGTAAAGGTAAAGGTTAATATAAAAACACTTGATTTTTTTTTCTTGCTCAGTTTGATGTTATGGTTAGAAGCATTCACTATTCTTACAAGATTTGTCTCTTCATCTAGAATTGATGTTTATTTGTTTCTCTATCAGAAGTCAGCTAATAGTTTCACTTGATTACATCATTTAAAAAATTACAACTAATCATTTGCATATGATGTGCACTAATGGTAATTGTTTGATCAAGTGCTGACTGCAATTGAAAACTTTTACATATGCTCAATTGCAATATGCATGATTATTGAGATTGTGGTGATGTATCTAATCCAGCATCGACAATATAGGGATGGAATAGAGAATCTCTTGGTGCAAAGTCTAGTTTTACTATTTTTGTTGTCAAGATTTACCATCATATTCATTAAAATTTACTAATGCAATACCTTTGCATATTGTAGAATGAATACATTGAAGAGGCACCTTCCATGTCATGGAGAAAAGGGACTAAATGAAATCATAAAAATTATTGACAAATTTGAAGAAAAGATTTATATTGCAGCAACTAGCCAGGTAATCACAAAAAATCATGGCTACACAATTCTTTTTCTTTTATATATTGTTTAATATTTGAATTATTAATATATAATTTTATTTTATTTTTGCAGCTAAATTACAATAATATAACTTTATTTTACTTCCGTGACGAATTGTGGACTTGAAATCTAATTGAAAATGAAAGAAAAGAAAGTAAAAATTATATAATTTTATCATTATAACCCTTTTATAAATTAAGATGAAGAAGAAATATCTAAATAGGATAGATAATTTTGTAAATATGTAATAAATATACACATCTCTCTCATTCTCTCTTATTTTTTCTTTTTAATTTGGAGTAATTTGTTTATGTCAATGAGTGTGAAAAATGATAATCTTTTCTATTTTCTTTCCTCTTTTTTTTTTTTTTTACCAAACACACCTTTAATCCATTTTCCTTCTACTTTTCAATTGTACCAAGCGCAGCCTTTGTGTTATATCAGCCACCACTTACACATCTTCAGCAAGAAGAAAAATCATACAGGATGCAATCATCTACTCATGTTTCAGCTCATGATTTGATTCAGCATGTAATAAATTCATGATATAAGTGGATATCATCAATAACAGAAGCAAAGAACAAGTCTTAGTAGATAAGTGCACAAAAATGTGATTTTTGTTTCTAACTCCACCCTCTAATTCACAGTCTCAATCAATGTTACAACAGCAAAGACAAGAAAGAGTACCACCGATGTAGGCAATGGCCTGCACAAGAATCAAAAGAAGAGTTCAGTTGCATTTAATGGATGAAATGCATATAAGAAAGCTTAATGTGCTTCATTGCTTAAAGTTAGCAGTTGCATTGACAGGGCAAGGAAGAAGGATGTCCCAATAGCACACAATCCGCACAGCCCCCACTGTCTACGTATTCCAAACTGTGTATTAGTCATATGGGAAGACACTACGTGGTAACCTGAACATGTTGGTCCAACCAATGCACCTTTCAAAGGTACAAATACCATGATGATGCGGACTTTAGGTTCTTGGACTAGACGATTTATACCAAGGAATAAATCTGTTGGTTAGATAATACGGTGATAACTGGCTCAAACCAAACTTTCATTGCATACTCTAAATATATTCCACCGAAAATAAAGATCATTATTGACTAGATCCGTAAGGAGATTTATGGCCTCCTTGTACATATAAAGGATAGGATAATTCGGATTTTAATAAGATTCTCATGTAGATTAAGCCAGTGAATCAAAGCCGTGTGTAATTGTGGAAAAAGCATGCCTTTGAACAAGTGGGTAAATGAATGTCAAGGTAACAATCTTCAATACTAGTAAGATTTACTAGCAAAATTGAAAAAACAAAAAAAAAATACCCTAACCCGCCAGCCGTCTGCCATTATCTCATGTGGATCCCACAGTCCATCAACCTATGCATCCTACACTGCACATGTCATTCAGTCTTCGTGGAAGTAACCCATCACCTTTTTTATTTTTTTAAGTTAAGAATCTGGTGATTATATCATAATTTTTCTGCTTAGCATCTTAATCAACCTTCTTTAATATGATTCACGCGCTCGGGAAAGGGCGTGACGGATGTTTTTGGCAAGCGGAAAAAGATATCTTTTCAAACAAAGACAGGGACCTAACAAATGTAATTAGGTGATTGCACCGAAACAAAACACTTATGGTCCACGACACGGCTTCTGTTTAAATGGCTCGTCAACAACAGCCCCAATGCCACGCGTCGCTGTCTCCATAGCTGTGGTTTTACTCTCTTTCTTTCTTAACTGTCGGTGTAAAAAGCCCCGATTCTGAAGTTTATTAGAGGGAGCGATGTTGCGGTTGACACAGTCAGTTGTTACAATTGGTCTTAACTTAAAAGCACCGAATGAGATGGCTTCTTTCCTCACTTTTGTAAAAGGATCGTGCTGAACACGCCTTCACATTAATCACTGCATTGATTTTTAATCTTGGATTTTAATTTTAAAATTAAATGCTTAACATTTCTCATTAACATTTTATTAAGATTCCTAAACATAAAATATTAAAATTAGCATGCTCTAGGATTTAGTGTTTTTTAATTTAAATTACTTAAAACATTAATGGGAACATTTGAGAAAGAAATGGGCAGTGTCAGCGGTTGAAATAGTGGAGAGTGGAAATTCATTCATGAGAAATGGAGCGTAAAGGGCGAAAGCCGGCACAAATCAACACCTCTCCGTTGTCTCGAAATTTCCGCGTGACACGTACCTCGGGACAACGTTATCATGTTGTCTCCTATTTTGGGCGGCGCCTCAGTCAAACCCCACCTTGACTGCCCATCAGCCTAACTCTATATAAGACTAATCCACACGCATATGTCTCTCAAAGCAAATTACACCTAAAAGAAAAGGAAAATAAATTTGTAATGGCTCCCAAAGACGGAAATGCTAGCCAAATCTTGAAGAAAGGAAACGTTAATGGAAATATTAAGATCAAAGAGGTGCATTATAGGGGCGTAAGGAAGAGGCCATGGGGTAGATACGCAGCTGAAATCAGAGATCCCGGCAAGAAGAGCCGCGTTTGGCTCGGTACTTTTGATACGGCTGAGGAAGCTGGCAGAGCCTACGATGCGGCGGCGCGTGAGTTTCGTGGACCTAAGGCTAAGACCAACTTCCCGTTATCGGATGAAACGAACAACTACACAGGTAAGAAGGGCCAGAACCAGCAGAGTCCTAGCCCAAGCAGCACCGTGGAGGAATCCTCCAGCGCAGCGGTGGAGCTTGAGCCCAAGCGTGGAGGCAACAGCGTGACTGGGGTTGTAGGGAGATTTCCTTTCGCATGCCACCAGCAGCTGGCCCTGGATGGTGTTGGTGGTAGGATGGGCGGGGTGGCTTACGGGCGGCCAGTTCTGTTTTATGATGCGTTGGGTAGAGCTGAGGTTGAAGGTCAGGTTTATCCGGTTCGGTTTGAGCGGGTTGGAGTTCAGTTGAGTATGATATTTGGAGGTGGGGTCCAAAGTGGATCGGATTGTTCGTCGGTCGTTGATTGTAAACCAAGGATGCCTGTCCCTACCCTCGACCTTAATCTTCCTCCGCCAGTGGATGCTTGAATAATTTATAGCTTTTCTTATCAAATATTTTCGTTTCCCTTTTTTCACCTTAATTTTCAGCATGTGAGAGGTCGGGAGCTTTGAAGAAAAAGAAAAAAAAAAAAGGAGCTGATAAACCATTTTAGCTATGGTTTATCTTTAATCTGATGTAAATAATTTAGGATAGCCATCCCTGTTTTTTGCAACTGAGAGGAAAGAAAACATCTATACTTTCTCTTAGCTGTTTTTGTTATAGCCTCTCATTCAAACTAATCTTTTATTTCCAATGAAATGAAATATCAAATCTCTAATGCACTGTTACTTACTGTCTTTGGTTTATCTTTCATTTCATCGTACTTCTTTCCCAGATGATAGTAGTACTTCATATATGAGCTCAATCATAAAGCTTTGATTCATTTTCTCCCGGCATAAATGAAGACCTTTAACTACGTCAAACGGTTCCTACTCTGATGAGAAATAACTCAGAAGATATCGATCGGAACAGTTGTAGTTTAGTTATGTTCTCATGTCCCCTTTTGACCACCAATAATAATGACAAGAAAAAAAAAAGGAAATCTCCAAGCTCCTGCTTAACGCTCAAAATAAGAGTAAAATCAGCAACGATTTGGCGAATAACATGCCTCACCCACGGCAAAAGTAAAATAAATAAAATCAGTAATTTAATTATTAAAATTACGAGAATAGAAGCGGGCCCCTTGGAGAAGAAAACCGTGTTGACGGGGTACATGTCGTGATTATGGTAGCCGGCACGTGTACTTTATTTTTGCCGTCCAATTCATCATTAGTATTTTATTAAGCGGTTAATTTCGTGTCAAAACTGTTTTTCAAGTAAAAGCTTCTTCATAGGCCGTTTGAAACAGAGCAATGGTAGCGGGAGCGGCGGGGAAAGGTCCCACGCGGGAAGCCGAAGACCTGGCCCCCCCACTTTTGATTTGAAAATGATGCAGTTTCCCTACCCCGTGGGTCCCGCTCTTCGTCGTCGGAATCTGTGGAGAGGATTTCGCTCTCTTTCTTTCATTGTTGCAATATTACACGCGCTCGTCATCAAAATGCTTTCATTTAAAAAAAAAAGTTTCTTTTATTTAATTTACTTTGAAGAAGTGGATTGTTAAGATGGTGAGGTAGTATTTCCGTCTGCTGCCATTGGCGCGTGGCGGTGGGGAAGTAGTGGAGAATGGACAATGGACAATGAGCGGCACGTGAAAGAGAAGTGAGTACGGCGCAAAGAAGCCGCATCGAAATTGCGACGTGTCGAATTGTGAAAGAGCCAGAGGCTCATAAAGCTTCGCCGCCACTGTTGGCTTTTTTCGGTCATTTTTTTAGTTGTGCAGTGGGGTCGGATTCTTTCCTTTCCTGTTGCATCGTTACGAGCGACGTGTCTTGGGCACGTCAATGCATAAGCAACCGTCAAAAATAGGAAAAGGTTGCAAAATTGGTGAGTGGGCCGTGGGAGTGGACGGCTACGGCTAAGTGTTAGCCACACCGCTCCTCTCTTATGTCGATGTGGGGGAATGGAACTGGTGGCCCTATCAGGTGCCGTGGCTTTTGTGACGCACGGAGCTTCCTGGCAAAGTACTATTAATTATTATGCTAATTGTGGGGTCGTGATTCGTGAAATCATGGGGCCTCGCACCACCTTGTGATTTTAAAATTGGTGCTTCTCTTTGAAAATGACTACCATCTGCATCCAAAGGTAAAATGTCTATTTTCATGAGAGAATAATTATTTGGTACCGCTTAGTTTCTGCTACATAAATGAGGCACGGGTTTTAAAATGTATATTTTCTTCTCATATGTTTTTGGAAACTTTGTTTTTTGGCCATTCCTTTATAGAAACATTGAGTCAGATTTTTTTATTATTATTTCACGATGAATGAATAATCATGATTATTAAATTACAATTTTAATATTCTGCTAGATATCACAAAACCGTTGGACATTGAATCCTATAACTCCAATCGGAATAACTAGCAAGAAGTTAATGTAACTTGAAATTCATATACTTCTTGTAACTTTGTTCATCAAATGACTTGATATTATTTATTAAGAGTGTTTAATTCATGAATTTTTAAATTTTCAAAGAAAAAATCATTCTGAAAAAAAATAATATTGAAGGAGAATCAGTAATTTTTTAAAATTGTTGAACTTATAAATGTAATATTTTTATATTTGATTAGAAAAATATAAGATTATTTAATAAATTTTTTATTATATTATCTTTTGATATGACGTGAATAAAATGTAATAAAAATGAAAATATAGAAATAATTTATTCATTTAATTTTTTATAGGATTTTTAATTATAAATTAGTTATATATTTAATTAAATATATTCAAAATATTTGTATATATATTTTATTCATTCCATGGAGCCTAATTACTATCCCAACATTCAACGCAAAAAAAAAAAAAAAAATGCAAATCAACGTGGGTTGAAGCCCTTGAAACAAATTTTTTTTGTAATAATATTAATTGAATGTATTTTAAAATTTATATGTAATAATATTAAGTAAATATTTTTTACATTTTATTTTAATTATGTTATGAATAGCAACAAGGACTACAATTTTATTTTAAACATAAAGTTTTTATTGAAACTATAAAATTTTTTCATAATAAAGAATTATTAAAATATAATTTCAATATCAATTACGTTTTTTATCTTAAAAACATGATTTTTATAGAAATTATAAAATTTTGAAAATATAATTTCAATATCCATTACGTTTTTATTTAAAAAATGTGATTTTTGTTGAATTATAGAATTCTAAAAATATAATTTCAATATCTATTATGTTTTCTTTAAAATACGATCTTTATTGAAACTATATAATTTTGAAAATATAGCATCAATATCCACTATATTTTGTTATCTTAAAACGTAATCCTTATTGAAACTATAAAATAATGAAAATATACTTTCAAAATCACTAAACTTTTTATCTTAAAAATGTTGTTCTCCTTGAAACTATAAATAATAAAAATAACGTTTTACTCTGTAATTTTTGAAGTCAAAACAGATAATATAGTCCAAAAATATAATTAAGTTAGGACAAATAAAAAAAAAATTTACTTTTCCTTCAAAATTTTATAAAAAAAAATGAGAATTTTTTATTCCCTCCTACTTTCTTCCTTTTGACAATGTTTAGATTATAAGATTTCTTAGGGGTAAAATTTCTCAATCAAACTAAAAAATCAAATTATATAAAATAAGATTTCAAAAAAAAAATTATGAATCAAACGCCCCCTAAATATTTAAAGTTAATACCAATACCTCTAGTAATTATTGCATAATGCTTAATTATATGCCTTTTTAGACTACTACATATATAATTTTTTAGAACGATATATTTCTTAAAAACACTTCTTAAAAGTTAAATGATATTTTAGAAATTTAGAAGTAGATGGTATGAATTTTTTAAATTAACAAAAAAAATTATGTTTTTAAGAAATGTATATTAAATAAATAATTAACATATAACTTTCCTTGTCAAGTGTATTATTTTTTAACATTTAATATTGTTTGTATACACATTTTATGATAGTAAAAATATATTTGGAAAGGAAATCTTTATAAAAGAAAAAAAGAATTTGTTATACCTTCAATGCCATCTTATAAAAGGAAAGAATGAATTTGTTATACCTTGAATGCCACATTAGCGGCTACCCTGTCTACCATCTCAACAAAATTAACACTTGACAAGACCAGTCACATAGTCACAACTCCCCTTTCTAATCAAGCTTGGTGTTTAATTGTAGAAAATAAAATTTTTTTAATTTTTAAAAAAAATAAAAAATACGAATGAAAACATATTTGATAATTAAAAGTGAAAATAAAATTTTAGAAAACAAAAATAAAAATAAATTAAAATATGAAAATAAAAAAGAAGTATTTTATTATGAAAACAAAATATTTATATTATTTTTTCGTATATTTTGCAAGTTATCATATTTAAACTTTTTTAATTTTATTAATTAATAAATATATATTATATTTATAATTAGATGTCATTAATAATAATATTATTAAATAGTTTATTTGTTTTCTTATTTTTACATTTAAAAAAATAATTTTTATTTTTATTTGCCAAATATATTTTTTAAAAAACAAAAAATAAAAACAAAAAAAAAATTTCTCAAATAAAAAACCTAAAGTCTCTCATTTTCTTTTTCTCTCTCACTTATTTTATTTTGTACAATTTGTTGATTTAAGTGTAAGACCGCATCTTATAATATATTATTTCTGACCCTCTTTGACTTTTTTTCTTTGTGATAGACCATGTTCGCTATCCTCTTCAACCTCTAACAAACTTCTCAACTATCAAATCAAAAAATTACTTCATCATAATTTTATTGAGAAGGGTTTCATTGTATTTAGTTATTGTATATAATTTGAGTGTTACTTGAAAATTTACTTGCAATACAAGTTCTTAAAACGAATAGTATCGTGCATGAATTTGAGTAAAAATGTCAATCTTTAGAGATGACATAATCTAAAGTTGTAATCACTATAGTAGAAAATGTATTGTACAGGATTAGCTAGGTTACGTCGCTGTGATTTTGCCTTGCAAGGATTAAGGACCAAAGTCACCTACACTTCGTAAAAGAATGGACAAACAGGTTGAGGAACTGTCATTTTCGTTGTATCTATTATTGATAATTTTTTTTGTGCTTTTGAACATGAGTAATGTTGGGGACTAAAGAAGAAAAAGAGGTGAACTAAGTGTGGTAAATACATTTCCTAAATATATATATATATAATTTTTTTTTAACTTTTTAGTGAAGCATTCTTATTAGAACTTTTAATGCCATGAAAGATGTCCACTTTTTAAAGACTTTATCCATATATATTATATAAAAGTTCTGTTCTCGTAGTTTTGAAAGTAATTTGCCTGTGTTTATCCATCACAACTATTCTATATCTATCACCTTTTCAGCAAAAGAGCAACATCTCGCAAATCCCACCTCCATAAAAGAAGTGGTAGTTTTAGATTTATAAATTATGGATTTTTAATTTAATAAACATATTTTTTGAGTTAAAAATATAAACCCATGACAAATGGTATCATAAGAAATCTAACTTTTCATTGACGTAAAGTCTTTATAAAAGATATCAGTGTTGAGGTAAGTCCAAATCAAAATGGATCTTTCTATTGAGTAAAAGAAGTAATGCAAAGAAGAATTATTACATGAAAATAGTATCACAAATCTTACATCAACAAAGAGAGATGATAATCTTGAACTTATAAATTTGGAGTCTTTCTTCGCTTAATAAACATGCCTTCGAGTTAAAAATGTGGATCCTT